CACGTCAAGAATTCGAATATTGGGATGGTAAGAAAGTCCTGAGCCGATTTTTTGAAAGCTCCAGAACTTTCGCTTATTGGTCGATACCTAGAATCTGCTACGTGATAGACTATCGTTGTCGATCATACTTCTCCGCAATAGGTATATATTGCCGGGTTGCCTTCTTTAACTTTAATAATGATGGTGATTCCACAAGAACACTTTCGAGCGATCATCTTCAATGAATCGCGCTGCGGCACAGGAGCAGTGGGAACCGTCAACATTATCAGCATCGCATTGGGAAGGGTCACCACTTCCATCATCAGTGCCAAGCTCTGGTTCGCAGGCTTCGAGGGAGGAGACACGGCTTTCAAAGAAAAGACAAGGTTGGGAAGCCCACAAAAGGTAGAAGACTCCACCGTTCTCGGCGCTGTCGAAGAGGATCCGGACGTTAGCACCCGCAGCCTTGTGATAAGACTCGGGTGCACCCATCCCACAGTCCTCGGTCCCCTTCACGCCCTCGCCACAGGAAAGTGTGACTCAATGGATTCCTCATGTCTTGACCGATAGCACGCGGTTCAGGCGGGTACCCATTTGTCAGTTTCTCCTTCTTTGCCCGCACCGAAAGGGGTTTTTGGAAGGCGTGATTACGAGAGATGAGAGTGGGGTCCTATACGATTCTAACAAGCACGGTGCCGTGTGGCTCCCTCGAAGAGAGGGCCTGCCGACACAAGCAAAATCGGACCTTCACCCCAAAAGCTGTCTCCTTTGCTACCTCTGGGATTCGTGAGGAATGCTGTACTATGATATGCTCCCGTAAAGACATACCGCTACCGGCAGCATTTACGCCAGTCTGCTCTAGAAACTAGCGGACGCTGTTCAAGAAAAACGACCGAGACGAACTTCTGTCCACCTACTCCACGATGACGCCAGGCCCCACAAAGTTAAAGAGACCCGTGCAGAATTGGAAGAGCTGATCTGGGACGCGGTTCCCCATCAACCCTATTCCCCTTACATTGCCTTCTCTGATTATCACTTACTCTATCCCCTTAAGGGATCCCTAGCGAAGAAAGAATTCACCAAAGGTAAAGAAGTTGGAAGAGCGGTCAGCGATTTCTTTGACTCTCAGTCTGCTCTGTTCTGGGAGAAGGAAGTCGCTGAACTGCACATTAGGTGGGACTCTGTAGTGGGTAGCAATGGTGATTATATTGTTGGGTAGATTCCATTCTACGTGGAATAAAAAAGCAAAGAACAAAAAAGTGTCAAACGGCTCAGGACTTTTTTACCCCACCCTAATATAACACTTTAGTCCAAGAGTCCTTGTGAGTACCGAGGTGGCAGAGCTCATTGAATACAAGAATGCCAATTGCCATGAGTTGAATATCTAATGCAATAAATAAATCAACGGAGCAAGGAATTGAGGCCAATGTCAGACGAAATCCAGCAAATCTCGCTGTACGAGCGTTGCACCAGTCAGTCGAGCTGTGTAGCAATCGTTCGAACGATTTACCAGCGACTCTACGGCGTGAGCCGTTTAGACGCGGTGAGCACCCGAAGGAAGCGTGTACGATGTTCCTGCAGTCAAGTACATTGCGCGACGCATCGACGCGATAACCGTAGCAATCCTATAGGTTATGCTCACAATGAGGCTATACTCGCTTGTCCAGGGCCGATCCAAAATAGATGAGGTCGCGACATTCTCTTCACCCGTTGAGAGAGCGAGAGAAAACCAAATAGTGGGCAGGGAGCAACCCTGCACGATTTGAGGGGGGTGCCGGTGGCGTTATCTTAGTTGGGGGGGGGGGCCACCACGCGGCGGCGCGGCGCTCTGTTCGTCTCCTCCTGCAAGGCTTAGTCCTCGATGGCGCGTATTTCGAAACTGCCACGTGATGGCGAAATAGTAACTGCCCCTGGACTAAGCCTTTGGAGGAGCAGACGAACAGAGCGCCGCGCCGCCGCGTGGCCCCCCCAACTAAGATAGCACCCTAGTGTGATATGTGCCCAGAGATCTCATCCTTTTTGGCTGCTTTTCGGCTAAGGCTCATAAAGGAATCACCTAGACTTTCGGTGACCGCTGCCCTTGGACGGAGGCAAACACGCACTTCAGCGCGTCAATGCGTCGCACATTGTACGCGACTACAGCAGGAACATCATGATTACGCATCCTGTTGGAAAGTGAGGGGAGCCCTTTGACCGTTGACTAGCCGCTTCCCGGGTTCATGTGTGCATTAGAGAGTTAGAGAGCATGAGAGCGGGGGAAGCGGCGAGAGTCTACGTGCAAACGAGAGGGATTTCCGCCACATTCTTACACTGTGGAGTCGCTGGTTCACAACTCGATTCGCTGGTGCAACGACTGCGTATTGCAGAGGAGGGACCGGCAACTTGGAAGGGTGAATAACGGTCGAGGAAATCCTCGACCATAGCTCTCTACCATGCGAGAGTAGTGCCGAGAGTGAACATCCGCGCGGAGAGCACAGACGGCACGGCATGGCGAGTGTGAATGTCCGCGCGAGAGATCGTCTCTGATCGGGCAGAGAATCCTCGACGTGCCGTTGAGGAATCCTCAAGCGATATTCACCCTGGCTCGTATCCCGCGACTCGTTAGCGAATCACTGGATTCCCAAAGTCTGTCCGGTCGTATGCACATCGGTTTTGAGCCCTTTTTGACCATTTTTCATTACTTCGGTGACGATACAATGTCCATAAGGTCCGTAAGTCCATTGGAGACATGGCTACTAACCATCCTCCGCATTCCAGTCGAATTTTGGAACTTAAAAGGTGCACAACCAGTGCCTCAGTTTGAACACTCAAAAAGTATTTGAGAGCGGGCTTTAATGGCTGAACTACGCACATACTTTCCGATAAGTATTCAAGCATAGCAAGGAGCAAAATTCGAAACAGCAAAAGCAGAAAAAAGAAATGACAAAAGCGATACGCTGCCAGTGCATTGGGGAGGTGCTTACTTAGTTGAGTTTGTGTGGGTCTTCTTGCGAAATGCATAGGTCTTGAAGTGGATATACTGTACCGTTCAGTGAAGTATGCGCTTTTACTTTTGAAACGTAATTTCCCCAAAACTCAAGCTTTCAAGGTGAAACTTAGACTGTATGTAGTTAGCTAGCAACGTTTAAAAGAAATCTCTTGGACACCTACTTTACTAACTTCATAATATTGTTGATTTTGTTGGTACCGTCTATTGTGAAGATGTGATCATTTTTCTCCACTGTATACTTTATGGGATAGTCTTCTACCTTCCCTTCCCATCTGACAGTGACAAGTGCCTGCAAGCCGATCGAAGATAAGCCTTTACTTCTGAGCTGTATTGATCTGCTTCCCGCAGTTTCGATCCTTTTTGGTTGTTTAATCTAATAAGCCTAACACTAAATCTAGCCGGGACTTTGATTGTAAACTTTTCTATTATTTCAGAAATGTTCACCGCAATGTTCTGGTTTTCTTGAGCTTCAACTCCTCTGATGAGAAAGTCGCCTTCATCTACTAGAAGTCCGACAATGTCTTCAAAGGGCAAGCACCCATGATACCACTCTTCCTTTTCAAGGTCCTGAATGCTTCACTCTTTTCAGATAACCTTGTTTGAGGGAATGCACTTCCTACCGCTAGAGTTTTTTCGAGGCCAAGATCCATAACAACTGCCTCCCGTTTCTGCTCTGTTCCAGCCTTATCCTAGGGCAAACATTTGGCTTATTCTCGTTGATATATTTGTATGAGACTCACCGTGGCTGCTGTACCCTTCAGCTCTAAAAAACTGTGAGCTTCCTGTTCGGCTAATTTTCCATCTAGAGCTGCCGCATCGTCATCTATAGCACTTTTCAGTTCCAGTTCCTCGCGCTGCTGAAAAGAGCAGATACGTCAGCTCTTTACTAAGGCATGGATATTCCCACGATTATTCGGTAAACGATGCGTAAGGAAGACCTTCTGAATCGTAAAGGCAGATGATTAAAGCAACAGTCCCAGCAGGGTGGGCGTGGTCGGAAACGGCTGCAATCCCCTCGGCCGATTCCCACTTCGGAGCTGTTCAGCCCCTAGTCAAGAACGTAAGAAGTGTGACTGAACAAAAACTCACCTTGGAAAGCCGCTAGGCAGGGAGCTGAAGTGGGCGTGGTCGGAATCGGCCAAGGGGTTGCAGGAGGTAAGCAAACCAGCCCTTTTGGCGTTTCGGCTGGGACCGTATGCTGAATGTTGGGGAGGGGATGGGGTCCCCAACGGTCGACGGTTTACTTCAACTCGGTTGGTACGATAGGAGAGTACTGACGCAAGTGGTGCAGCTGGTCCAGCAGCTCCGCCAGAAGGGCTGGTTTGCTCACCCCAGGACTAAGCCTTGGAGAGGGGACGGACCCGTCCTCTCTTTAAGGCTTAGTTCTGAGGTAAGCACCAAATTGTGGCGGTTCTAAGGACCGAGTTGAAGTGGTCCGTCCACCGTCGGGACTCCCCCTCCCCAACATTCAGCATACGGTCCCAGCCGAAGCGCCAAAAGGGCTGGTTTGCTTACGTCGGGTTGCAGTCGTTTCCGACCACGCCCACCTTGCTGGGAGCAGATACCAGAGGGACGATAGTAACTAGATGAACTGCGAAGGTGTTTTGAGAAAGCTGGTGGAGTTGCTCTCTCCACACATGGCCACTTATTCACTAACACATTCAACACACTTTCGAAATGTGCTTGTACGACACAAATGAGTTTCATTTATTGCATTCACGCAGCGATAGTAGGTTTGAAAGTCAAGTTCGGTCGGCTCCAACCGTGCTTTTGAGAAGACCTGCCTATGCAGTCGTTCCTCGCGCTTCCTTTCCCAGCTCTGCTCCGCTCGTCCCCCACTCGCCTCTTCTTTGTCTCGTGCCACTGAGTCAGTACTCATGGGAAAAGTTCTCCCCGCATCTAATACCACTTCAGCCTATTCAGTCGCGTGGGTGTGCCAACAGCCCAGGACCATACCACTAGACGGTTATGTGCTGACTCAGATGAGTTGAGTACGTGCGAGTCAGCGAGATACAGGTAGTAGCTCCAAGAGTGGGTAGCCTGGTTGTGCAAGGCCTCTGCCCACCCACGTCTCGCATTACGCCGTAGCGAACCGAGATTAGAGAACCCTATTCGAGAGTTCATAGGATTCAAATTCAGAGCGAGACAGGTTTTATGTAACGGTCGAAATCTCACCGCGAGGGTCCAGAACCCTCTGCGTAAGGAACCTCAAGGTTTGGGTTCTAGTAGTCCAAAAAGGAAAAAAGGAACGGAATGCGTGAGATCACGGCGGGAGCGAAAATCTATACATGGCTGGCATCTCAAGGAATGCCCTCTGAAACAGTCTAGATCGCCGCTGGTCCTCCTTTCTTATGGTTGTTCCCGAGAAGATGGGTGGCCCATTTTACGACAGTCTGGTGCACTGTTTGACTTCGAGTTTCACAGGGCTGTGGAGGCATTTCGATCATCAAGTCGTACATGGAAGCTTTACAAAAAGAGACCTATCGACCGTAGTTTACGAGCAATTTTCACCTTGGAGTCGCCCTATATAATTCCGCAGAATTCGACCGAGCGTTTTGGATTCTCGTAAGAAGCCACCAAGGAAAAACTCAAAACAGTTCCTTATGTGTCAACGTGGACGGCTTCTCCCTTCTCTCAAGGTCGTCTTCGTTCGAAGTATGGGACAAATCTCAGCCCCAACCTAGTTTTGCTGTGTGATGAGGGAAACTAGCACTTTTTTAGTGCTTGCTAGTCTCATCAGTCTAATTCTTCGTTTTTGATGGTACCAATCTCCCCCCGTGCAACCGTCTAGACCTTCGTTTCCAAGTGTAGAATCCGCTGTGTTCTTTCCACTTGTGAAGTCAACACTTCATCGAGTGGTAGAAGGGTCATATGTAAACGCCCTAAACCTCAACACAGATTAGTACATTACCTTGGGTAGTGGTGCGATTTTGCTCTTCATTCTCCTCCAAAGCAAACACATGAGGATGGTGAAAGTGTGCTCAGTAGGTACTTGTTTGAAGTTGGAGAGCGCTATCACAATCATATAAACAGCTCAATACTGCCTGTCTTCAGGTTTGGGGTGGTTTGTTTGCCGTTCTCTGCTCTCGATATCCTCACCTCTCCTACCCTCCTGCAGAGAAGACCAATCCCCCGAAAATAGTTCATAGCGAAGGAGGATCACCTGGCCGTTGAGGCGGCTATCAAATCATATAACACATAATGAATCGCAGCTCCGAAATTTCCGGTCTTGTCAGGCAGGTTGTTTACCTCATCGCTTCCTACCACAACATTTTGCGGTACGGACATTACACACTCACCAACACAACACATCCTTAGAAACAGGCACACCGAAGCTAGCGGTCAAGAATAGTTGGTGTCGGTATGTTGAGGTGGGCATTTTAAAATTACGTCATGGCCTCATATGTTCGCCTTGAGTTACCCTTAAGATCGACTGTTTTGCACGTGTAGTTATAGGCCGCCGCCATAAGGAAAAGTTGAAGAGCACAATCGGGTGACAAACAGCAGCTACTTCAGGTCGCGTTCAAATAGTTTATCGACGCAATTCGCTTCGATGGCCAATCCAATAAGTGCGACTGAGAGCGATTCTTGCTTCAACTCTGGCATAGTGATGGCTGCTAAAGTACGCTACACAAGACCGGTTTTCGCGCGCTGTCGCGTCCCTCTTTTAACCGACAGCAGGCAACATCCAGCAGCGCTTGAAATCCGACCTGCCTTTGTGACTTTATTGGTCGAGTACTGCCCTGGCGATGACACCGCCTTGGCAACAACAAGACAGTGCAGTACAATAACACAACTTCACCGGAGAGGACAAACACAAAACATAGACGCAGGAAGTCCGATGTCGCCCACTGTCGCTCCCTGTGCCTACTGCCTGACTGTACGTAGCCAAATCCAGTACCGTAAAATAAATTATGTATGCGACTCAAAAGCGCCAGTCGCTGACGGCAAACCGAAAAGAACGCTCCTACACCCGTGCCGCATATCGTTGAATCGCCGTGCTTCTTCATCGTTGAATTAGGAGGCAACCAACGACTCCACCACCTGCGTTCCCATGCGACATTGCATACCTGACCATTGCCTTACGCTCTGCAGCGTAGTAGCGTGCGACCTTCCCAATGACTCTACAACATTTGCGATACTTACGTTAGGGGGGTTGCCCCATCTAGAAAGAGAGCTGTGGAAAAGCATTCTTTCCCCAATCTATAAGTTCGGGAGGCAGTTATATCTACATATACTTCACAAGACTTGGCCTACCACTTGCACCTTCCTTGTCATATTCTATGGCTAAAATGGACTGCTACCTTGCTGGCTCTTCACTTTCACCTTCTTGCGACTGCCATGCAAGCCCTCGAAGAAAGGGCCTTTCAGGTATCCGATTTTGTATGGAATCTCGGGTTGGTATCCCTATCTAATCATACACTCAGAGACTGTGCTCTGGATGTTGATTAGATATGACCGCCCTTCCGCAGCTCCACTTCGATTAGATATTGCCAGTTCGATTAGATATTATGAGTGCCCCCGAACTACATTTTCACCGAGGTGTTTTGTTAGGTTGGTGTCAGAGTCCGCGATCCGTCGCGCGATTCGCCCAAATTTGAACATTTGAAGCGCTGAATATAAAACAAGTAAATGGACAGCTCCCATTCAACCATCACCATCAAGCAGAAATGGCGGCGGATTGGAGAGCACCTCGCAGTATTGATCGGGGCACTTGTGATTTCTGTGAGTCCGTCGCGCGACGGATCGCGGACTCTGGCACCAGCCTTAGGCCGATGTCAGACTTTGCGAATCGCGCGACTCGCTACTAGCGATTCGCAAAGTCTGACATCGGCCTTAAACAGCACTTATGTCATCGCACATGGTCTCCAACACTTCGAATACAGTGTTCTTACCATGCAGTTTATTACAGTGTTCTTACCGCACATCAGTAGAATACACAAATAAAAATGTTCAAGACAGAGACACACAAAAGAGCATCTCAATCGGGGACGTGTGGCAGAGAATTAAGCAGACAAAGGTACACAAGTATATCTGTAGGTAGACGAGCACTATGGAACTTGGAGATGAGAATGCAGTTGCAACTTTAGAAGGCAAAGTATGCTACTTGTTATTTTCATGCTTCTTATCATATATTCTACTAACAATGAACATAGTAGATAGCAAGATTAGGATGAGGATAAATAATCCCCTTTTATTAACAGCATTGAGGAAATCAGCCACATGTTTTCCGGTCTGTACACCACGGCTAACTTGGTCTCCACTTTTGACTGAAGTACGCGGTGTTCCCTCATGCGTCTTAGACGATACATCCATTTCCGCCTTGCCCGCGGCATCTAGGAGCAACTGCTCTATGGGTGGATTGGAAGCAGAGCACGTGTTAGATGAACTCACGCGAGCAATAAGACGAATTGCTGTTTGAGATGCATCAGAATCACTAGTAGAATCCAGAAGTCGAGTAACAATTAGTAATTTTGGAGGTGGAACGTCTATCCAATGTTCAAAATGTGGAGGTCTCGTCCACGTTAAAATAAGCCGTACTTGAGAATGCGGCGGTATTTCCGCATCCGCAGCAGGTTGGGCAGATATGTTGCTGCCAGGGTTGCTCTTCAGTTTGAAGTAAAGTGCTCGGTCGGATATATTACATAGCAGAAGTTGCATTCGAGCCACATGCGGACGATCAACAATAGCATGGAATGTTAGAACAGTAGCCTTAATAATCTTCTTCAGTAGCTTTCTCGCAGGTTCGTGAGTCTTTTCTGACTTAACGGGGACAGCTGTTCCTGTAGTTGCAGGTACAACTTCGGTGACCTTCTCATCGCTACCAATACTACCCAAGTGATTCTTAGGATATGAGTCACTTCTTAAGATGCACAGGTTGGTTAGTAAGTCCGGGAAAGACCGCTGCGAGAACTTTGAGTTAGTCAAAATGCATGAATCAAATGAATACGCCATTCTAGTGATTCCTATCCGTAGATGTAAATAAAGGCGGGAGGCGGTCATATGGCGCGATCGCATTGACATGACGGCGAACAGATCGTAACTGCCCCATCCTGCTGTGGCCGAACAACTCGTCCGCATCAATCAACTACTGTACTTCAGCAAGTAAACGATCTGATAAGTTAAGTCCCAATTCGTGAAAAAAGAGCGGTTAATTGTTGGAGTAAGCAAGCAATAGCGATAGCATGTGGTCTCGCGGACAGTTTCCGCCGCAGCAGATATGGCAATTCCTGACGGCTGTGTGCTCCAAATAGATCGCGCCACATGACGCACCCCTAATGGTCCGTATTCTACCTCCCGCGAAGCTCAGGGACGAAATCCTTTAAATTTCTCTGTGTTCCTATCTGGGATTGCCCTGAGAAAGGACCTACATTTAATGTATGTATGTAGGTAAAGTAAACGTGCACTGAGAATGAAGAAACTATATCGTTCAAAACAAATAAATTTAAAGGAAACTTTGGATCAAGTAGCAAGGGCAGATACATACGCCCTATAAAGGTAGTGATTATGATGTAACAGAGGGCGTGCTAATAAACCATACTAACTAGTAAACGTAGGCATCGAAGTAGAGAATGGTGAGGACGCACTCACATGTCTACGCCTGCACCAAGGTATTACATAACTACTACTCCCTTAAAGGAGGATTTTACGATTAGAATGGAGGTCGAGGAAGAAGTAATTCACCTAGTTGAGTAACCCACGGACCTCCTGAGGGTGCGAACTGATGCGCAATTCGCATCGAAAAATTTGACCTCGGCGACCTATTATGCCTCAAAGTTGGCGGGTCTGGCGATCTCCGCCCACCGACCAGCTGATCACTCGCCGCAGATCTATACGTGGGATTGATTAGATAGCAGCGTGATGTTGAGGAGAGGGCACAGCGATGAGAGTCGCATCAATGCTCGAATCAACGGGCAAGGAAGGGGTCCCATTTCTCGGGTTCTGGGCCGTTTCTCATGGTTCTTCCTTCTTTCGTGTACCACTCACCATCCCTAGGTTAATTTGAAATGGGTTGCTTTTTCATCGTGATT